ACCCGTGGCCTTGGTGTTATCAGCACTGCACTCTCCCGAGTGAGCCACGGGCCGGCCCTGGCAGGGTTTTTTAAATTAAGAAAAGAGAAAGAATTAAACAGAACTATCCAAGATGCTTCAATCTAGAGTGGTGGCCAAGATATCTCCTGGGAGTATATATAGCCCATGTTTAAGATTAAGGGAGAGAAAGAAAATCAAGGTCTTAGGACAGAAGCTAGTGGCAGAACCTGGAAATGAAAGGCTGGTATCTGTAACCTAAACGAGAATAGAATTTTTCTTGAGTCCAAAAGGCTTACAATTCTTTCATCTATACATTATTTATTCACCAAACCTTTATTGTAAACCTACTATGACTTTTTCTACTGGCAAGAGACATCAAAATTAATGTAAAATAATCTCTGCTCTCTAGCAGGAAACAATTAGTAACTTAGGATGTAAGCATGTATGTAGAATGATGTATTAGTTCACTCCTGCTTATAACAGGAATACCTGGAACTGGGTAACTTGTAAAGAAAACAAAATTTATTGCTTACAGTTTTGAAGGCTGGGAACTCCACAGTCCAGAAAACACATCTGGTGAGGTGACTCTACAGCAATACAGGGTGAGAATGGTGGAGCAGAGAGAGAGACAGAGGGATTCTCATGTGCTCTCCTTTTAAGGCCCTCAGAACCATGCCCACAACCACCATTAAACCTCAACTTATTAATCCATTTAGTAGGACATCGGTCCTCACAATCTAATCACCTCATCAAGGCCCCACCTTTCAACTACCATAATAGGATTTCCCATCAATGTCACAGTGGGGGCCAAGCTTCCAACACATTAAACTTTGGGGGGTCTCAATTCAATCCATAATACATGACATTCACAGTTAATATAAGCCTGGATCTTAAGACCCTAGCTATCTTAAAAGAATGGTTGATGGATCACTTCACAACAATTTTTTTTTTAATTTAGGCTCCTGAAAGGGACTTCCTAAAAACTTTAAAACTTTAAAACTATGCTAAGAGAATCCAACAGTGTGAAACTATATTTGTGATTTTTAGTAACTCTTTATAGTTTATACCATACCAATCACTCACACTGTGGAGAAGTGTAGGTGGGTTCATGTAGTTGGATGTAGCAAACTATGCTGAAAACATGGAAAAGGAGAGGAGGTAGGGTAAAGTAGAGACACAAACATACCTTCTGACAGAGAATTGTCCCTTTTGAAGTTATGGTAGTGAAGGATTATTCTAACATCCACCAGTTGTTGAGAAAAATGCTATCAGGACCCAGTTCATTTTGTCATAAAATTCTAGTATGTTTCATCAGAAATGTTCAGGTTTTTATGTTGCCAAACTGGCTCAGTAGAAATTAGCCTGCTGTTTTTCAGACTAGCTTGGCACCAAGTCAATACATGTTCTTGCCCACCAAAAAAAGTAGCTGTTAAAATGCAAAGAGGGAAGAGGGGCTGTTAGCTCGGTTGGCTAGACCACGGTGTTATAACGCCAAGGTCAAAGGTTCAGATCCCCTTACTGCTAGCCACTCCCACCCCCCAAAAAAAGAGGGTCTTTGACATTCTGGGGATATAGGATGGAAGTATCCACTGATCAAGCCTTGCATTCTATGACCCACAGCAGGTACTGTACAAAACTTAAGCAGTAGGAATAGTATTGGCATGGCAGAATGTTCCAGAATCACTATGAGATTTCAGAGCAACCCATTTATTTTTTAGATACATATTGTGGCCTGGTCATTGGAATTGTGAAAGCAGGATGAAGAAAGGACAGAGGATCCTATAGTTCAGTAAGTAGACATTTACTTATTCATCCCCC